AAAGTAGTCCATCCTTTGGCCACAGGTGGCCAAGCAGCAACATTGGTATAGCGACCTGAGTTGCTCAACCTGTTCCACACCAGGTACAAATGCTTGACATTGTAACTTGTCAAGTTACAACATACCAGCTTGTAGCTCCTCAATTTTTTCATCTTCTTCACCTGTTTGTCAAGCTCTGCATTCTCTTGAACAGCAATTTTGTATGCAAATAATAGGCAACCAGCCATCTGACCAGCAGGAGTCAGCCACTCTTTAGAGGGTCTCGGAGAGGAGTTTCTATAAATTCTCTGCAATATTTCAACACCCCACCAAGGTCCTTGGCCTCCCATGCTTCAGGCCCAATACTTGTCCAGGTTGCTAGCTAATGCCATAATGTGCTCCAGCCTGGAGCTTCCTGCATCCAGCCTGGTCACTCCACTGACAAAGCCACCCCCAAGGCTCTTTTTCACAAAACATTGTTACCAGTGCACTCACACAAGGAAACCTAAGGCCCACAAGAGAAGTGAGGGCAGGAACTCTGTCCAGTGAAATTGCAACCACATGATCTGCTGCCCACGGAACAGACTGTCCTGGGGCAGCTGTGTGCCCCACTGAGCAGGCCCTGCTCGTGGCACACGCACCCACGGCACTGCTTCCTTGCTGCAGCTACACGCCCGCGCTCAGGGTGCAACTGTTATAAATGAAATTCAGACAAATTTTATCAATAAGGATTTTATTGAAAAATCTGTAAAATCGAATTATGGAAACAACCACAATCACTGTCAGCGTCGAGCCCGGGATCGGCGCTGGGTGAACTCTAAATCAGCTTCTGCCACACTGATTCCCCCAAGTTCACAACTTGTCTTTTGGAGAGCGGTGTTTTATACAGGTTTTTTCAGCTTGAGGCTATGCAGTTTCAGTTTCTTTCTTTTTCTTGTGTTGTTACATATTCATATTTCTGCTGCTGGACTGCTGATGAGTTTTCTGAGAAGAAGATGAAGTTTGAGTGGTTTTTCAGGAAGCAGGCTTTGAGATGTAGAATCGTGGTGAGATTTTTTTTAGTCTGTAGTTTTTTTTGGGAAACCGACACTGAGATGTAAGGTCCTAGAGAATCACATCAGGTCTGTATCAGGCGTTAATCACCGGGTCGTTAGAGCGCTTATCTTGCTTGGGTGGACCCAGCTCTTCTCAGTGTTATCTTAATTGCTGGGTCATTCTCTTGCAAATTCCTGGTTTTCCAGCAGCTGCTTTTGCAATCTTAAGTTGCTTGTGGTTTTTATTTTACATAAAACATACTTTTAAACTTGATTTTATATGTGTACATTAAAACACAAATTATACCAACATATATTGCACAGCCGTACGCTCCACTGCCCAAACCCTGTCCCTGTTCTCTTACCCACACTCAAACATGCGTCCATTTTTCACTCACACGTGCTCAAAACACCACGCTTTTTGTGCTCTGGGCATCCCATCCTCATTGCCAAGAACATCATGGGTTCTGGAAGATGCTTGTGCACAAAATTGCAAAGCAAGTCTTATTTTATTAGTTGCTGTTGCAAATAAAACCTGCCAACCCCTGGATTGGTGCAAAGCCACTGAGCAGCGGCAGGAGATGGAGCATGGTGCTCCAATGGGAGGGGCAGGCAGGCCATGCACCTTCAGGGCATGCCCTGCATCAAAAGGCGTGCATTTTGTCCTTCTTGCCTCTCCACTGCAGAACCAAGCCTCCTTTCTTCTCCCCTGGAGTGGAATTTTCCCAGTTACCATGTCATCTCACCCTTGGCCAGTACATGAGGTAAGGTCACCATGCCAATAACAGCCTCATTGTTACTGTTCCAGGTTAACTTCCCATCAATTGATCAATCCATTGAGGTCAAATTCCCAGCAGTTAACCCATAAGGTTTCCTTCAAAGTCTGTTCTTTGTCATCCTGTTGATGTGCACAACAGAGGACCAAATACGGCAAGCCTTAGACACAACTTTGGTCCCTGACACACCCAGGCTCCTTGTCCCACTACTGGCCTTCAGTGACACCTTTAACTCCACAATGCTGTGGATCGGGGCCTTCAGCACAGGGACCTTTCCAGCCTGATCTTCGCTCCTTCCTCTGCGTCTCTGCACAAAACACGGTGCAGGAGAGAACGGCAGGAGGGGCCTGTGTGTCACAGTGCTCTGGATTTGTGACCCTTCAGCTCCAGAGAGATGCAGGTTAAGTGAAAAAGGCAAACTGTTTATTAACAGGGATGAACTGGAAAGGGAAAGAAGGGGATGGGCATAGACTGAGGGCTGCAGGTAAGGAGCTGTCAAAAGGGAGGAAGAACAGAGGGAAAAAAGGGGATGGGCACAGTCTGAGGGCTGGAGGGGGCTATCTACAGGCTGGGAGAGGGCTGAAGCCCCGTGAGAATCCCACAGGCTCAGCTGTGCCAGTTGTCAGCTGTGCCTGGATCTCCAGTGGCACTGGGAGGTGGTGTCCTCTTCAGTGTGTCCTGCTGCTGTTCTTGGGACACTTGTTTACTGGCAAACTGAGCTTGGCTGTTCTGGTTGCTGTGGGATGGAGTGGTGTCTTTCCTTGGGGCTTGAGTGGCTGGAAGAGAGAGGAGGAGAGGCACGGTCAGGGCATGCATCTGCAGGGATCCTAGGAGACATTCCTGCCAAGGACATTCCACCTGGCTCTTGCAATGGCCACAGGAGAGGACCAGACAACATGATCAGCCAGAAGGTGCTGGCCACAACTCCCACCCATGTCCCTGAAATCTCTCAGATCTCTGCCCACACCGCCCTCACCCAGACAGGGAACGAAGCACTCTGCAGCTGGGCCAGGGATTGCAGCTCCCTGCCCAGGCATTGCAACTGCCCCCTGCCAGCCCCCAGTGCCAGCCCGCTGCTCTCACTCACCCTCACTGAGGGTCTGCAGCTCTTCCTTGTGCACCCTTGTTCATGAACATCCCGACCGTCCCTGGGAACACAGAGCCTGTCAGGGCCCCAGAGGCACAGCTCCCTGCCAGCGGCGCTGCCAGCCCTGTGGCCACACAGCCTCCCGCCCCGGCAGGGCTCAGCCCGGGCCCTTGCCGCATCCTGACTCAGCCCAAGGGCCTGGCTGCCAGAGGCCGGCAGCAGCAGCCCCGAGGGCAGCCGGGGCTCCAGGGCGCCGGGTCCGGGTGCCGCTGTCGGGGCAGCAGCCGGGGCCGGGGCCGAGCTGCGGCAGAGCAGGGAGCCAGCCCGGGCTCGTGGCTCACCGATGAAGCTGACGGCCGCCTCTCGCAGGGACTCCTGTGGGCTGTCCAGATATGGCAGTGCCCGGCTCAGGTGCTCGGCTGCTCGGTTCCTGTCCTGTGCCAGCTGCAGAGAGCGGCAGGAGGGAAGGGTTGGTGCGGGCTCTGCCCCTCGGCCGGGCGCTGCCTGCGGCCAGCCCCGGCCTCCCGTGCCCGCCCAGCCCTGAGGCCCGGCCCGCAGCCCCACTGGGCTGGGGCTCCATCGGCACCCGGCTCGGGGCCACAGGAGCCTGGAGAGGAACCCGTGTGGCCCAGGGAAGGGAGCGGCGTGTGGGGCACAGGCTGGCTCCCCTGGGCGCAGCACTGGGCCACAGCTGCCAGCCCCACACACTGAGCACAGGGACAGGGATTTTCTATATTTAGGCTTCTCCAGGCCGTTCTTACCAGACACTCAGCAAACTTCCACAGCTGCTCTTTCCTCACCAGCTGCTTCAGATTCCTCCTCTTGAGGAACTCGGCCACACGATTCCTCCTCTTGAGGAACTCGGCCACACGAAGCAGCGTTTCCCGAGAGGCCTGGAGAGCAGCAGAGATGCAGAGATGGCACTGCAGCCCAGGGCACAGGACTCTTGTCTGGGTGACAGGGCCCAAAGGAAGCCGCAGCCTGGAAGGTTCCAGGACAGGAGGAAGCCGATGCCCGTCCCAGGGATGCACTGGCATCACACAAAACCTCACCTTTGCCACACGCTGGTTCTCATCATGGCAGTGGATGAAGAGTGGAAGCAGGCTCTGGTTCAAAATCTTCTCCAGAGGCTTCTTTCCCTCATCCACTACCTTCTTTCCCTCATCCACTACCAAGTCCATTGTCTTAAAGAAGAGTTCAAGGGAGAGCAGCTGCACATGGCTGTGGTCCTGGAGGAAAAGAAATGAAAAAGACCTTAATACCGATTCCTCCAGGCTCAACTGGACAAAGGCCCAGAAATCTGTAAGACACAAAGTTTCTGGGCAGCAGCCAATGCCCGTGGCTGGGGGCACAGAGCCTTACATGATCAAAGAGCAGCAGGAGTGCCTGAGCCAGGTTTGGGGCAGTGGTGCTGCATATCATGATGTCTTTATTGTTGAGAATATTGATGAACACCTGGAGGGTCATGCCAACCACATCTCCATCTGTATCACCCAGCAGGTCCTGAAGGTGTTGAGACAGGCTGCACATCCTTATGGCCTGTGTGGAACACAAGGCTGTGCTGGGAAGCCCTGAACGGCTGCAGTGCCAAGACCGCCCTGGCACTGCAACCCCACCCTGCTGCTGCTGGGCCCAGAGGCCAAAAGCCTGTCCCAAAGCACTCAGGCAGGTGAGGCAGGAGAGCTGGGAGCAGCTGCCTCAGCTCCTGAATCACAGCCAGCCCAAGGGGCGGCTTTGCCCAGCACAGCTTCAGCCGTTGCCCCGTTCTCACCATTGAGGGTTCCTTGCTGAGCACCACGAGGCCTCTGAGCGCCAGGCGACGCCTCTGCCTGCACTCACTCTGCAGGTGCTTTGATGTGATCTCAAGGACACTGTCACCATGTTTAGTCAAATCTAAGCAGTCAAGGACCTGAAAGGCACAGGGCAGTGACAGGGGAGCCTGCCGGCAGGAGCCTGGGCTCCTGGCACAGGGCTGGGCCCAGGCAGCAGCACAGGGCGTGGGCACCGTCCCAGGCAGCTGTGGCTATGCAAGGGGACAGGGCTGGCAGGCAGCTCAGCGAGGTAGTGCTGGCCATCAGGCTCACCTCCACAAGGAATGCCAGGAAGGACAGATCACAGCATCGCTCCTCCCTTCTGAGTGACTTGAGCAGGTCGAGTGCAATGCAGGAACAGAAGGGGATCAAGCCACGGCGCATCTCCCTGTCGGGGGGAAAAAAGCACCAAGACCCTGATTGGGGGGGGGGCGGGACAAACCTCTCCCAGGAATGACTCATAGAGATCTGGCCTTTCCCCAGCATCCCTGGAGGGATCATGGGTGCTTTGGGAAGTGACTCTTTTTGGGCACCCTCCTCTCAGCCTTTTTCAGCCTGCTTAGCCATCCCTCAGTGACGAGGCCCTCTGGCCAGGACCACAGGGACTGTGTGAGACACCTCAAGCACAGGGCACAAGTTTCAGAGGCAGCTGGGAGAAGTGAGGCTCACCTGGCCAGCAGACCCACGGCATAGTGCTGGGTGTCAGCACAGAGCAGCGTGTCCCAGCCACGCTTGCGTCCCATTTCCATGACCACACTGTCACACCGCAGTCGGCAGAGCAGAGCCTTCATGACCTGCACTGCAAACCTGTGTGCAGAGCAAAGCCCAGGTCACACTGGGTGCACTGGTGTCAGCCATAAGGGCATGGGAAGGACAGGAGGACTGGCACCTGTTGGCGTTGCTGGGAAGGCGGTGTTGCTCCTGGCATGCTTTCCAGAAGCTGTCAACTTCCACTGGTGGCATCAGCTGTGTGGTGATGACAACATGGAACAGCAGAGCCACAAACAGGCGGGCAGAATAAAGCATCATTGCCTCGCGGCACTGTGGCATCTGGACAATCACCCTGAGCACCAGGGTTGCCTGCAAAAGAAGCACACCAAGACAGTGCTCAGTGCCGAGGTGTCCATGGGGCAGGGCTCGAGGGGAGACGCATGGGAAGCAGCAGGCCCGGTGCCCCCTGAGCCTGCCCCTAGCCCAGGTTTCAGCCCAGCGCCTTAGGCAGGCAGAAGATGGAGATCTCCTGGGGAAGCAAGCTCCAGGTGATCAAAGGCCATCTCCAGAAACTCACACTCAAGGGAAAAACATCCTTGTTGTCCCCATCAGAGGTGCAGGTGCTGCAAAGGGGCCAGTTCTCCATCACACAGAGCAGTGTAGGCAGCACTTTCTCAACTGCTGGTCCCGACGAGGCTATGGTTTGCCACATCGCAGCAGCAGCTCTGTGGGATCAGAGCTCTGTGTCAGGGGTGTCTCAGTCACAGAGCCATGCCCTGTGTAGCTGTGGGGTCCCAGGTGACAGAGCCCCAGTGCCCTGAAGGGCAGGGAGGGAGCATTGGCAGCAGCCTCAGGAAACAGAGGGGCCCGAGGGTCCTGGACCTCTCTGCCTGTTGGGCAGAGCCCATTGGACAGGCTGTGCAGGGCCATGGGCCCTAAAGGCCGGTGAGCCCTGAGCTCTCGAGGAACGTGGGCCCCATACCTGTCACATGATGGGGCACAGCGCAGGAGGGTCAGCGCCACATCGACCGGGTGTTCTTCAGCCAGCCTTATTATGTCAATTTTCTGCCTGATATCCACAGTGACACGGGACACAAGACTCTGGTGAATGCTCCGTACAATAGCTGGCACCTGGATGAGGCATGGGGAAGACATGGAGTGCTGTCCAAGGCAGCAACTTCCCCAGCTTCCCCAAGAAGTGCTTCCCTTCCAGTGAGGCTCTGCTGGCCTCAAAGGCTGAGGGGGCCCTGTGGATGTGGCGTGAGGGGGCATAGGATCCTGGGAGACCCCCAGTTCTGGCCCCAGGCTGGCTACCCGCTGGTCAGAAGAAGCAGTTCTCTTGCCAACAATGTCAGAAGAAACATGAGGGTCCTTGAAATAATCCCATATGAGCTCTTGGCTTACAGTGGGAGTGGGTGTCCTGTCGGCATTTGCGATGCCCTGAGTCTCTCCGGTGTCATCATCTGGAATTTCTGAGGGCTCAGCTGAATCTGGGCTGACATCAGGCTCTGCCTGGAGCTCGGTCAGCCCGGAGTCAGGTTCAGCTGTGCCCTCAGTTGCTGCTGTGGTATTGCTCTTTCTACGCTGAATGCGCAGGAATTTGCGGAACCGCTGTGCAGAATGAACAAAGGACAGGGAAGAGAGGCATGTTCCAAGGAGTGCTCCATGTGCAGAGCTGGACTGAGCAGTGCCAGCAGGCCCAGCCCAGGTGGGGATGGCTGCAGGTACCTTCAGCGTTTTGCGGAAGCGGCCACGGGCAGGCTCCTGCTCTTGTCTCTCGTCCATGGCTGCATCTGTCAAAGAGCAGCCAGAGCTGAGGGGCTGCGGGAGAGGCCGGAGAACACAGCCCAGCCCTGCACTCCCCAGGCAGGGACAGCCCTGGGGTGGCTCAGGGAATGGAGCACGGCCACTGCCAGGGGTCAGACCCAGCCCATATTCTGTCCTGCCCTTGGGCATGTCCACATGGGATGGGATGGGATGGGATGGGATGGGATGGGATGGGATGGGATGGGATGGGATGGATGTGGCCTAGCTGGCTGCAGACATCAGCCCTGTGGCCCAGCTCTGCCACTCACCATCCTGCAGTGGTCGGAACTCCTCTGGCTCTTCAGGCTGTTGTGCTGGGGCAGCTCCAGTGTCTGTCTTTCTGTTCCGTTGGAACACTTTGAACAGCCGGAGGAATCTGCCCGCCATTACACAATCTGGCCTCGAAGGCACCTTAAAGAGAGATGCCTTGGGAAATCTCTGAGTCAACAGACTGTGCAGTTGTGCCTTGAAGGCACCTGTGAGAGAGAAGCCTCAGGAAGGCTACAGAAAGTCCTGCAGTCTGGTCTCAAGGGCTCCTGCACAATGACTGGAGACTCCTCTTAAATGACTGTGGTCACCAGGTCCTACAGTCTCACCTTGAGGACAGAGGTCAGAAGGATGGGAGATGCCTCAGAAAAGCTCCAGGTCACCAAGTACCGGAGTCTGGCCTTGAAGGCACCTGCAAAAGGAAAGTCTTGGGAAGGCCACGGGCCAGCAAGGCCCACAGCCTTGCCCCGCAGGCACCTGCAAAAGAAAAGTCTTGGGAAGACCACAGACCACCAAGTCCCGCAGTCTGGCTTCGCAGGCACCTGCAAAAGAAAAGCCTCGGGAAAGCCACGGGCCACCAAGGCCCGCAGTCTTGCCACGAGGTCACCTGTACGAGTGAAGGCTTGGAAAAGCTCCGGGTGAGACACAAACGAGTGCGCTGTGCGGGGGCTCCTCACAGCACCGCTCTGGCGCGTCCTGTCCCGTCGCGTGCACTGAGCACTGTGGCGTGGCCCTGTCACCGCCAGCCCCTATGTCACCACAAGTCACAAAGGGCCCTTGGACACCCTGTCCCTTTCCATTGCACAGTTACCATGCTGTGCTGTGTCACAAAGGGCCTTTGCACACACTGCCACCTGCCCTGGTTCTACCCCCATCCCCCCCAAAGTGGCCCAGGTTGGAAGGAATCCCTTGCCCAAAGTGTCTAAGACAGCCTGACAGGATCTTTAGGAACACCTCAAACCATCAGCAAACGCTGCCCTGCTCTGCAGGCTCAGGGCAGCAGAAGGAGCCCCCAGGGCTGCCGAGGCAGCCGCAGCAGGAAGGGCACGGGGCCTTGCACAGAATCTGCACAGGGGCCTGGCAGCACTGAAATCAGCAAGTGTGGCAGAGTCCCCACCGAGGCAGACCTGCCACCCCAGCCGAGCCCTGGCAGTGCTGGTGCCCTTCTCCTGCCGCAGAGACCTGTGCCCCTGGGGGGTTTCTGTGCCAGAGGGCCAAAGCCAAAGCCCCGTGCATTGGGGGCTGGGCTCCTTCCTGCAGGGGCTGTTGGCAGGAGCTCCTGGAGCAACTGCTGGCAACGCTTAGTCTTGGTCAGATTAATTACGTTGGAATTATTTTCCCATTGAAGTCATTTCCTGCTGCTCAGAAACATCTTTGTTGGGAAGGCACAGAAGGATCTGACATTTAAGAACCCTCAGTTCACGAGAGCTTTACTTCCCCATTGCTCAACTCAAGAAGTTCCTGAAAGTGGCAGACTTCACCAATTAATTGCAATGGCCAGAGAATGTGAAAGATTTGCAAGTTTGCTTCCCATCTCAAAGCAGCAAGTCCTTTGCCTTAACATCATCCATTGAGAGTCACTTTACAAAATATAACACTACACAGAGGCTAAAAAAAGGCCATTCTTTGGTTTGCAAACCTTTGGTTTTCTGTGGAGGGATAGGATAATATCCTAATTCTCTGAAGGATTAAAGCTCTCAAGGAATGAAAGTCCACTCAGTATTACAAAAGTAGTCCAGACAATTGAGTAGATTGCAAAAAGGCTAATCCTCCCCCTGGTACAGATATCTAGGTGGCCAATAAATTTCAGCTCTCTCCTCTTCTTTTTTCCATGAGAACCAGGACCACTAACAGGAAAAGTCACAGATATTCCTTATGTCCTCTATAAACAAGGCTGTGCCAAACCACGGATGCTGCTGTCAAACTGACTCAAATTCCAGCCTAGACCTCTCACTTCCAGACAACTCCTTCCCCAACACACCCACCATCACCAACGCCCCCAAAACACCCTCACAGAACTCCTCAACACTCCACCAGGACCCCCAGCTGTCCCCATCCCTCCACAGAGCTTTCCCACCCTCCAGCAGACTCCCTGGTTCCCTACACATGCCATGGGATGGCACTCAGCAGGATCTACTCCAAGGCCTTCTGCGGTAGCAAGCTCAGGCTGCCAGGCCACTGGTTCCTGGATCATCCTTCCCACTGACCCTTCCTATGCACGGCTCTTCCATTTACACCTTTGAGCTCAGCTTGGACTTCTCCCCTTAAGCAGGATTGCTGGGAAAGGATGGAGAGCAGCCTGGCAAGCTCTTTCTTCAGCTCCCTCTTGACTCTTGGGGCAGCTAGAACATTGCACAGGAAAGCAACTGGTGCCACAAGGAGTGGGTGGCATCAGGCAGCTCTGGGGAGACCCCTCAGGACTGCCGTATCCTGAGGGTGTTACTATGGGCTTAAATGTTTCTGAAAATGTTTCTTAAAATCTTGTAGAGGTAGGCCTCAAGAATGCTTGGTATTAGGGATGGTCTAGCAAGCTGAAATGTTTACGGTAAAGGGAGCTGGTACTTGGGGTCTCCAAGATACCCACCCAGAGATAAGATTCGGACATGTTCGTGCAAGGATGAGCTAACTCTCATGAGGCAATATCAATAAAGTTAATGAAGATTTATTAAAGAAGCAATATTGATAAGGTTGTTATAGTGATTACTGCTTCAGCTGAAATTGTAGAAATATGTGCACTTTGGACAAAGATGATGGAGTTAGATTTGGGTTGCTGATACCCCTAGTTCCTGTGCACTTCAATAAAGCACCTGCATATAATCAATCCATGATTATGTGTGTTCCTGAACGCTGACAAGGGGACACTGTTGGCCTTGATCTGTAGGTGTCGAGGTGACACTGGTGGGTTGGGTTCTTTTCCCCAGGACTGAGATTGACAAGAGAGAGGCTGTTTTCTCATGTTCACACTTGGTTGTTTATTCTTTCCTTATCTATATTACATATATACAGAGTACAAGGAGCTACATACACTAAGATAGAGAGGTGCAAAATGGAGAACGAAGAATCTCTTCAAGGTCTTTTCTATGTCTATTTGTCCAATAATCAAATTCCAAGTAAGTTCTTTTTCTTAGTGACCCAAAGACCTGACACCTGTGTGCTGCACTGTGGCTTTTTCTATCCAATCACTCATTATTACCCAAAAACCCTTAAAATAAGTAGGTGAAGGAAGAAGAAGGAGAAAGGGACAATGCCCTAAGTCCTCTATCTTGTCTCTTCTTTTCTAAAATAGCTTAAACCTTAAATTCTAACTTTCTCACCCAGTGACTTAAGAAAACTCTGACACACTCACATTCCCAGTTTCTCTACTTAACTTTAAAAGTTATCTCCATGGTGTTGTGTTAAACTCAGTGCTCTCTCTCTCAGGTCTCAGAGGCAGGCGCTACAGATAAGGGCACATTTTCTGTACCTCTGAGCCCAAGAGGGGAGAGAGTACCGAAACCTACCTTTCTTTAGAGGAGACGCCCCTTTCAGGACATTTCCTCCTAACTTGTTTCAAAGAGAGACAGGGGTACAGTCCTTTAAAGATATGCTGCTTTAGTTTGGAAGCAAGGGTCCTCTCTCTCCTCTGTCTTCTCACAGAAGCTGCTTCTGTGGCCCTCCCCCACTACCAAAAATCAGGCTGTGCTAAATCCACCCACACAGTATTGTGGCATTGACCCACCAAGCTCTAGGGTTATTCCTTGTGCTGATAAATTTGAAGTTAGTAAAACCGTCTGCATTCAAGGTGCCTAAAATCTGCGACTCCAGTGCGGCATAAAGCAGGGCACTTCCCAGGGGGAGACAGTGCTTGCCCCATTCTGGTAGCCCACAGATGCAGGGATGCTGTTCCATGACCGTAGGCTTTCCATCCCTTTGGGCATCCCTCTAGGATAATGTTCCTATCCTGGGGTTTAAGGGTTGGCCCTTATAAAGCTCGAGAGACCCCATCAGGACACTAATTTTCATTTCTTCTCCTTTAAGCAGATTGCATTCCTGTCCTAAAGTAGTCCATCCTTTGGCCACAGGTGGCCAAGCAGCAACATTGGTATAGCGACCTGAGTTGCTCAACCTGTTCCACACCAGGTACAAATGCTTGACATTGTAACTTGTCAAGTTACAACATACCAGCTTGTAGCTCCTCAATTTTTTCATCTTCTTCACCTGTTTGTCAAGCTCTGCATTCTCTTGAACAGCAATTTTGTATGCAAATAATAGGCAACCAGCCATCTGACCAGCAGGAGTCAGCCACTCTTTAGAGGGTCTCGGAGAGGAGTTTCTATAAATTCTCTGCAATATTTCAACACCCCACCAAGGTCCTTGGCCTCCCATGCTTCAGGCCCAATACTTGTCCAGGTTGCTAGCTAATGCCATAATGTGCTCCAGCCTGGAGCTTCCTGCATCCAGCCTGGTCACTCCACTGACAAAGCCACCGCCCAAGGCTCTTTTTCACAAAACATTGTTACCAGTGCACTCACACAAGGAAACCTAAGGCCCACAAGAGAAGTGAGGGCAGGAACTCTGTCCAGTGAAATTGCAACCACATGATCTGCTGCCCACGGAACAGACTGTCCTGGGGCAGCTGTGTGCCCCACTGAGCAGG